ATCATGGTTAGTATCGCGTTGTTACGAACACCGTTGCAAAGGATTAAAAGGAATATTTAGAAATGAATTTTAGTATATAAAATTTTGATCATGGTAGGTAACGCATTGTTACAAGCACCGTTGAAAATTCTATATATCAAAGATTCAGATATTAGGAAAGAAATAAAGCAATGTCGTCTGCAAACTTTAACATGTCTATTATTTCTCCATGAATGTTGATAGCAACCCGGCTCTTGTCTTTAATTTTGTTAATTGCCTGCTGTACATATAAATTGAATAGGTGCGGAGATAATGAGCAGCCTTGTCTTACATCCATTTTAATTTTCGCTTCTTCTTTCATTCTTCTTCCACATTTTACAACTCCTAACTCATTTTTGTTCAAACTGTGAATTATTCTCCTGTCACTGTATGTCACTTCAATTCTCTTTAACATTCTGAGCATTATGGTCCAATTTACGTTATCAAATGCTTTTTCTAAGTCCACAAATGATGTATAAGTAGCTTTTCCTTTTTTCTATTACTTGTCTTAGACTTAGTATTTCCTCTCTCGTTCCCATTCCCATCCTAAATCCGAACTGGTCATCTGTCAAAGTATTTTCAATCTTTCTCTCTATCCTTTTCAAAACTATCCGTGTAAGTATTTTATAAGCATGAGATACCATGCTTAAGGTTCTATACTGATCACAACTTTGTGCTTTGGCTTTTTTTAGAATTGGAATTATAAGACACTTCGTGAAATCATCAGGTATCTCTCCGTCATCATAAATTTTACAAGTCATTTGATAGAGCATAAACTTTGTTTTTTCTCCACAATTTTTGAGTAATTTAGCTTGTATATCATTAATACCAGATGTTTTTTTATTCTTTAATTCTGTTAGAGCTTTTACAATTTTTTTTTTAGTATTGAGTATCTTTTATTCTTTTGATCAGTCTCATCCTCTCTTTCTGGTATTTCAATAACGTTTTCATTCCCATATAGTTTTTCGAGATAGTCATTCCATCTTTTTGCTATTTGTTTTTTTTTAGCTTCGATGCGAAGCTGAGAAGGTATTATTTTACTATGATGTGTTTTTTTTTTTTTTTGTGTCTGTTACCACTTTTTCTCAGCTCTCACCGAACGGATTTCTTTCAACGATACGTCAAAATATCACAAATCGTATCTAGTCAAAGACATTACCCTAAAAAATTGAAAAAATTTCATTCGTTTCCGTAAATAAGGAAAACCTCAAAAAAATTACAAATTTAAAAATCGCTAATTTTCGGAATTTTTTCAATTTTCTTTATTAAAAACTGCCGTAACTTTTTCAAAAATGAACGTATCAATATAATTTTTTTTATAGATGCTTGATGTCTTTACCTATCATTTGGTATATATTTTTTTTAAATCAGACTATTTTCCTATATATGGGGGGGCTTCAAATATAAAAAATGCATATAGATAGTAGAACTTTTTCAACTTAACTTTTGAAAGTGTTCCGGAAGGTCTGACGCTCTTATATATATCTTAAATTGAAGCCTATGTAATATACTTTAATTTGAAAAAAAGAAATTTGACCTCTGGACTTGTCTTCACGGTGAAAATAGACATCAAAGTTAATAAAAAATTACGATTTTTGTAAAATAATTTTTTTTTATATTTTTAACTTAATAATGCTATAACTTTTTGGAAAATGTATGGATAAGTAATTTTTTTTTTATATAGATGCTTGATATCTTTACTTATCATTTGGTATATTTTTTTTGTAAATTTGACCCTTTATCTGCCTACAGGGGGGGATTTAAAATGACAACTTTTTCACAAAAAAATAACTTTTTCAACTTAACTTTTGAAAATGTTCCGGAAGGTCTGACACTTTTATATATATATCTTAAATTAAGTTTATGTAATGTACTTTAATTTGAAAAAAAAAAAACCCAGCACAGTGGGTGGCGGCACAGTGGGGCGGTGGCACAATGGGGTAGTGGCACTTGTCTTCATGTTAAAAACTTCTACCGAATTTTTTTTTTTGTGTTAAAATTCTCAATTTTATAATTTACATTTTTAACTTTATTATGCTATAACTTTTTGAAAAATATATGGATCAATACAATTTTTTATGAGAAATAATATTTTTTAATAATCCCTTTTTCATTTGACATACTATATCTTAATCAGGATATTATTAAGGAACTAGTAGATCATATAGCTTTTGGAATAATACACCATTTTTTAAAATTAAACACTATCTAAAGATTTGCATCGAAGCGTTTTTTTTTTTATAGTGATTTTAATCACTGTCAGATATCATTATACTTGTTCCAACTATCTCACGTCACCACTGTACCGCGACCCTCCTGTGCTGGGTTTTTATATTTCAGTTCACCTATGTCATATTTTATAGCACCCATTTTATTTCTATTTTCTCCAAAAAATTGTTTCACCATTCCATATACTTTGTCAAAATTGTTTACTTTGAGTTCAGTATCAATCTCCTCACAGATCTCATTTAGATAATTTTCCTTGTCTCTTCTGCTTTTCCTGATTACCTCGTTTTTCAATCGTTTATATTCCTGTTTACCTTGATCACTTGTTGCATTCTTATACCCCTTCCTTTCATCAATCAGTTTCAGTAACTCATCACTTAGCCATGCCTTTCTCTTATGTTGATATTTTTTCTTCAAGATTTCTTCAGCAGCCCTGGGTATTCCTTCTTTTTACTTTGTTCAATATGTCTTCAATTGTTTGTATCATATTGGTGTTATTTTCTTCTAGTATTTTGTCTGTTGTATGTTCAAATTCTTCTTTTGTTCCTTGTATTTTAAGTTTACACAAATCAATGCATCTTGATTTTCTTTTTGGTAGTTTCTTGAATTTGAGTTCACAAGTCATTATAATCGGGTTGTGATCACTACCAATATCGGCCCCTGGATAGCTTTTGCAATTTTTTACATGGTTTTTAAACTTTTCTTTTACAAAGATATAGTCCAACTGCATTCTTCTAATGTTTTCCGGGGCTTTCCAGATGTAGCGTCTTCTTTTATGATGATTGAAGTACGTGTTGGTAACAATAACCAAGACCATCGAAAACCGATTACAATATCCTGATTACAAGTTTTATGATTTATAAGTGTAATATATAAATAAAAATTTAGTATAGCAATAAAGTATGAAATTGATTTTTAATAATTTAATATTGTAATTTTTTACAAAAATCGTATTTTTTTTATTAATTTTGATGACCGTTTTCATCATGAAAACAAAATAAAGTTCAAAATTACTATTTCTATTAAGTATATTACATTAAGTATTTCTATNGACCGTTTTCATCATGAAAACAAAATAAAGTTCAAAATTACTATTTCTATTAAGTATATTACATAAGTTTTAATTTATAAAAGTGTCAGTATTTCTCTCAAAAATTGAATTTTTTTCTCTCGTTTCTCGTAAATCATTGAAATCTTCCCAAAAAATAACATTTTTAAATATTTGAATTTCGGTAGCCATTTTCACTATATGACAAAATAAAATTGGCACATTTTTTTCCATATTAATGTACATTATATAAGCTTTAATTTAAGATATATAATAGTGTCAGTAATTTCGTAACACTTTCAAGAGTTCAGTTGAAAAAGTTTATTTTTTTTGAAAAAGTTCATATTTATAAAAAAAATATAAAAATGATAGGTAAATACCTCAAAATCTATAAAAAAAATGTATATTGATTTGGTCATTTTTAAAAAAAGTTATGGCAGTTTTAAGTAGAAAAAAACCCAGCACGGGGGGATCGTGGTATAGTTGGACCAAGTTTAATGATATCTGACAGTGATTAAAATCGAATAGTTATAAAAAACGCTTCAATGCAAATTTTTAGATAGTGTTTAATTTTAAAAAATTGGTAGATTATTCCAAATGCAACATGATCTATTTCCTTATTAATATCCTAATTAAGATAAAGTATGTTGAATGAAAAAGGGAAATAAAATATATTTCTCATAAGAAAATTGTGTTAGTTCCATATACTTTTCAATAAGTTATAGCATTTTAAAGTAAAAAATGTAAAATATAAAGTCGAGAATTTTCACACAAAAATAGCATTCGGTAGGCATTTTCACCGTGAAGACAAAATAATTTTTTTTTTTCATAATAAAGTACGTTATATTAGCTTTAACTTAAGATATATATATATAAGTATCAGATTTTCCGGAACACTTTCAAATGTTAAGTTAAAAAAAATATTTTTTTGTGAAAAAGTTGCCATTTTCAATTCACCCTGTGAGCAGGCAAAGGGTCACATTAAAAAAAATATATACCAAATGATAGGTAAGGACATCAAGCATCTATAAAAAAAAAATGATATTGATTGGTCATTTTTGAAAAATTTAGGACAGTTTTAAGAAAAAAAATTGAATAAATTATTAATTTTTAAATTTGTATTTTTTTTTTGGAGGTTTCCCCAATTACTGGAAACTAGGGAAATGTTTTCAATTTTTGAGGGTCATGTCTTCGACTAGATACGATTTGTGATCTTTTGACGTATTATTGAAAGATATCGGATCGGTAAGAGCTGAGAAAAAGTGGTATCAGACACAAAAAAAAACACATCATAGTAAAACCAATGCCTTTTCAGCTTCGCGTCGAAGCTAAAAATTGAAAAAATGTCAAGAATAACCAATTTTTCAATCTGTAATTTTTTGGGGAATTTCTCCCAATAATGAGGAACGAAGACAATTTTTCAATTTTTAGGGGTAGTGTCTTCGATTAAATACGATTTGTGATATTTTGACATATTATTCATCAAAATTGGTTCAGTGAGAACTAAGAACAAGTGGTAACAGACATACAAAAAAAGAAAACACATCATAATATTATTAATATCTTTTCATCTTCACTAATAAAATCGCACCAAAAATAAATTATTCTATTGACGAATGTCAAAGGCAAACAATTGCAATGGCATATTTTTAAAGTATTTTTTTTAGACAGAAACATATATATAAAACACGAAAAATGTAGGTGAAACTATAATTTAAAATACAATCTTAAGAAAAAATTATTTTAAAACTTTTTTTTTTCTTATTGTATCTGATTAAGTAATTATGGAATTTTTTAAATTTAATAAATATTGTATCTTAGTAATTTTGTTTGTTATAAATTTTTCATTGTCAGGTAAACGAAAATTTTTTCCTGAGTAAAACATTCTTATTAGAGTATAGTAAATTAAATATTTGCTATCAAATTCTATTTATTATATATTTATAATAATATCTCTTTAATAATTCGTTATTATATTTTTTTAGTGTTATGTTCACATAGCAATGATATTACACTTGGTAATAATTTTTATAAATAATTTTATAATTTTATATATTTTTAATATGTACCGTGTTACAAATTAAATTATATTTGATAATAGAAGGGAATCGTTTCAACTTAAACAATTAATTCCTTATTAAATTAAAATTTTATCCTAAATGTCTAGTCTATATATCTTAAAATTTAGTTAATAATTACATATGAAGTATTTTAAACTATAATTAATTCATTTTAAGAGTTTGTTTATGTTAAATGTGAAATTTAGGTTCTTAAACCTGCAAAAAAAAGCGTTAACTAGTTTAATTTATCATAATTAAAATACACATGTTTTTTAATCTTTGAATAATAGAATAATTAATATAGGTTCTTATAGATAACCATAAAAGGAACTATAATATTCTATATGAATACTATTTTTAATTTCTTAATGAATCGTATAGAATATTATATTATAATATGAATTAAAATTTTACCTAAAAGGGTTAGTTTAAAAATTAGTCTTGTAATATATGTATATATGTATATATATATATATATATATTAGCTTCGATGCGAATCTGAGAAGGTATAAATTTTACTTATTTACAGTTCCCAACTTGACCGATTTTTCTCAATGATTTACGTAGTTGATTTAATATATATTATTAGATATGACATTTTGGTAAAAAAACAAATTTAATTTACAGGTATTAAAAATATCACCGTTAGTAGGTTTTTCTTCCTATTTCATTATTTTCATTTTCTATATATTTTTTGACTATCATTTTTTCTAGCTTCTAAGATTGTTCGTCCATACTAGTCCATCCATTGTTTAAATTAACACCATTTAGCTTCGATGCGATACTGATTAATTAATTATTAATTAATACTGATTAATTCATTCGATGCGATACTGATTAATTTTAGTTATTATTAAGGTGGACATAATGCCCATGCACTCAGACCTGTTGGTCCATTGTGCGCACCTCATACCGAATTGTCTTGATTCGGTTTACCCACATAAGTGTTAATACATTACCAACCATAAAGTCACCTCTAAAGATGACCAAAGAGTCCTGTCTTTCTGGCGAAATTAAGTATCTCTCTTATGCTGGGATTAGGAGTACATTACTTTAGAACCACATACCAAGTTTAATATATCGCATGTGTTATACATTGGTCTGTTGAGTCTATACATTTTTAAATGATACTGTTAGACTTGAGCTCTAAATTTAAAGGAAATTTGCACATGATCGTGGATTAACACAAACACAATTATTGCACTTATGTGATAAAAATAATAATAAATATTATTTTAAACTCATAGATGAATATTTATTAGTTGAAAGTAAGTAATATTATTCATATTATGTACATATTTTGAATGAATTTATTGTTTTATATTATTTTTTTCTGAAATATAAAAAATAATTTAAAGACGTAATTCGGGGAGCACCCCCAAAATAAAATTTTAGCTACAAGCCTAGTTATTTGAGCTAGATTTAGTTATAGTTTTAATATCAACTTCTTTTTAATTCAGTTAGATTTCTGTACTAAACTTTTTGAAAGGCTAGACAATATATTAAAAGAAACATCTTATATTAAAATTGAAAGACTTTAAATTTTAAGTAATAGTGTATTGTTCTTAATAATTTTGTCTGATATAGTCTTTTAATAGTTAGGAAAACAAGAATACTTTTTCCAATCCAAAACCCTTAGTTTAAATATACTAAAAATATGAATTTCGAGTAAAAATCTAACAGATTTATAATCGTCTTTGAAAATAATTTTTTATGTTATTTTTTAGAGCCAGATAAAGGTAATTTTTTTTATTAAAAATTATGTACATTGTTTTAGTTAGTCTGTAATATTAAATTATATTTGATAATAGAAGGGAATCATTTCATCTTAAACAATTAATTATTTATTAAATTAAAATTTTATCCTAAATTTGTAGTCTATATATCTTAATATTTAGTTAATAATTACATATGAAGTATTTTAAACTATAATTAATTCATTTTAAGAGTTTGTTTATGTTAAATGTGAAATTTAGGTTCTTAAACCTGCAAAAAAAAGCGTTAACTAGTTTAATTTATCATAATTAAAATACACATGTTTTTTAATCTTTGAATTAATAGAATAATTAATATAGGTTCTTATAGATAACCATAAAAGGAACTATAATATTCTATATGAATACTATTTTTAATTTCTTAATGAATCGTATAGAATATTATATTATAATATGAATTAAAATTTTACCTAAAAGGGTTAGTTTAAAAATTAGTCTTGTAATATATGTATATATGTATATATATATATATATCTATTAGCTTCGATGCGAATCTGAGAAGGTATAAATTTTACTTATTTACAGTTCCCAACTTGACCGATTTTTCTCAATGATTTACATAGTTGATTTAATATATATTATTAGATATGACATTTTGGTAAAAAAACAAATTTAATTTACAGGTATTAAAAATATCACCGTTAGTAGGTTTTTCTTCCTATTTCATTATTTTCATTTTCTATATTTTTAATTTTGTTATAAATCGTATAGAATATTATATTATAGTATAAATTAATATTTTAATTATTATTTTATGTTATTTATTTGTCTTTCATATAAATAACGTAGAATAATAATTAATCCATTATAAAAACTACCAATGATATAAGTGACACGACTTACGTCGTAATAATAATTATCGCGGCAATTACGATGGCGTTGGCATTGCAGTGTCCGGTATTATCTTTGGGCGTCAAAAAGTTAGAAGCGTTGATAACGACAGTGTGCGGGTGCGGTTCGGTTTGTCGAGCCGGTCGTGCGCACCTTGTACAAGTCATCAGTATTCGCTGCGTTCAAACTACCGTTAGGGCGGCCGGTCGGCCACTCGCTTAAGAACTCAGCTTCAGAATCCTCTGGCGCCAAGTAAACCGGTTAGTCCGCGTGTGTGATTGGTTCGACGGCAAGGCACTGCGTAGGGACTTCATCTACCTAAGACTCGCGTTTTGTCATAAATGTTTCAAAATGGGCGTTCGATTTACGCAGCGAAAGGTTAGGTTCGCTGCGCAAGCTATTTTCCAAGACTGCTAGCAAATCGCTTTTTCTCGTGGCTCCTTTAGCTGCTAATAAGTGCATTCGCCTAGTAATTCCCGACGGTTCATTCGAGAAAGTGTCTCACCGGACACAGTGAGCGTTCTTTACCGTATTATGCGAAAATGAACAAAAATTAAAACGTTAGTGTATGTACGTTTATGTTATTCGGAAATAAGATATGAACAATCGTTACAATACGCGCTATGCATTCGCGTATGAACGACAAAAATGCCGGCCGTTTGTATAATTAATATTATTTATATTATAGTGCTACAGTACTGCACTATAACCCGAATTGTTTGTGATTATGATGATTTTACAATAGTAATCATATCTTTATGATTTTGAAGGTCGGAATTAATAATTTAAATGGTTTTATGGTACTCGGTCGTTAAAAGCTATATCGAACGCGTTGATATGGAGTGCGTTATGCACTACCTGTCTATCGCTGTCGTTGCAATTAAATGTATATCAAAATCATTGTCACCTTGACAATGGGAAGAAGACTCAACGTATCATTTGCGGAAGGTAGTCATCGGCCGTGCTACACTTGATGGACTTTTCGACGTGGCGTAATGTATGCGGTGTAGGTCAAACTACCAAACACCCATCTTAGGGCGAAATCTAATATAGGTGGCGCGGATCGTGGAGAACCGTGTATCACGAAGCGACGCGGAACCATGTCTTAGGTTACATTAAGAATCTTTTCTTTAGTTTCATGATATTCGCAAACTTTTTTCGTACATTCATAGTTAATACATTAATATGATCAAAACAATAATTAAGTACATTTTCATTTCGATATACTATTATTACTATATTTCATGTACAGTGAGATAATATAGTAGTAATTTAGTCCGTTATACTCTGTTCATTCTTAAAGAAATTTTAGCCAATCCAAAACCCTTAGTTTGATTATAGTAAAAAATTTGTTTTTTGAGTAAAAATCTACTATATTTATCGTCTTTAAAATAATTGTTTATGTTATTTTTTAGAGGCAGTTAAAGGTAATTTTTTTTATTAAAGATTACTTAACTTGTTATAAATTAAATTATATTCAATAATATAAGAGAATTTTTCAACTGAAATAATTAATTTTCTTATTATTAAAATTTTAACCAAAATGTTTAGTATAACAATTAGTGTACATATCTTAGAATTTAGTTAATAATTACATATGAAGTATTTTAAACTATTCTTCTTATTTTTTCTCGCCTTTATCCTAATTATTTGGCAGCTACCCCTAATCTAAATATTCACTAGACTTGTTCTCCCACATCATTTACACACATCAGCATGTCTTCATATCACATTCAATAAAATCTCTCCATATCTTTTTTGGTCTTCCCTAACTCTTCTTCCCAAAACATTTATTTCCATAACTAATCTTACAGCTTCCGATTCCTCTCTCCTCACAACATGACCCAACCATATAAGTTTATTTTCTCTCGTCTTATCGACAATTGATGCTACATCTATACTCTTTCTTATATGTTCGTTCTTTATCCTATAATCTCTGAATACTCCACTCATCCGTTTAAGCATTTTAATATTTGACACACTAATTCTCTGTTCTATTCTTTTGTCAATTGTCCAACACTTTGAACCACACATCATAGCTAGTCTCACTACAGTCTTATATAATTTACCTTTTAGCCTCATTGGAATTCTCTTATTGGATAACACACCAGACGCTTCTCATCACTTCAAGCATCCGCATTTAATCCCGTGTGTTACATCTTCGTCAATACCATCGCTTTTTTGCACAACTGATCCTAAATACTGAAAACTTTCCACCACTTCTATCACATCCTCACCTATTGTCACTGATCTCTTCGTACCACCTGTCTCGTAGTCTTTTTGTCAATCACGAACTCTATATACTCTGTCTTACTCCTACTTATTTTAAGCTCTTTCATTCAAGAGTTCATCTATACAAATCTAACCTTTGATTAATTTCCTGTTCTCATTAATGCTCACTTTAAAACCTCTCTCAGTACTCTGTCTAAGCTTTCTCCAAATATATAAATAACATACATAGTTTTTTTTTACTTTTTCCTATACTTATATCATACCACTTAAATGTTGCCTTACTTATCACACACTTGGCTTTTTTACACATGCGTTTATACTTTATCCAATTTTCTTTCTTTTTTCTTCTATCATACTTTGAACTGCTTTTTTTTACACTATAATTTTCTGAATGTTCTCCTGCCTTCACCATGTTTCCTTGTTTCCTGAAATTCTACTCCAACTCTCATCAACAATTTTCTTTACAGTATTCTTTACACAACTAGTTAATCTATTTCCTACATCATTTATGTTTTTTTTGATCCTGAAGTCGCCTAAGTACAGTTATTATACTTATGTGATAGCAATAAAAATAAATCTTATTTTTAATGATATAGATGATTACGTTGTAGTTAAAAGTAAGTAATATTGATCAAATTTTGTACATATTTTGTATAAAATGACGTGGTTTACGTATAAATGTATTGTTTTATATTAGCCTTTTCTAAAATATAAAAAATAATTTAAAGTCGTAATTCGGGTGAGCACTTCCAAAATAAAATTTTAGCTAGATGCCTAGTTATTTAAGTTAAATTTAGTTATAATTTTAATATCAACTTTTATCATTTTATTTCAGTTGGATTGTTGCATTACATTTTTGAAAGGCTAGATAATAGATTAAAAGAAACAGCTTACATTAAAATTGAAAGCCACATGAATAACATCGAATAAACCATTGTATATAGTACTAGTTAAATAGGTTATATTAAGGACCTTTTCTTCAGTTTCATGATATTCGCAACTTTTTTCTACATTAATAATTAATACATTAATATGACCAAAACAATAGTTAAGTACATTTTCATTTCGATATACTATTATTACTATATTTCGTGTACAGTGAGATGATATAGTAGTCTTTTAAACCATATATTAATAAGTAATAGTTATTATAATTAGTAACTTTATGTGTTAAACTCTGTTTATTGTTAAGTAAATTATTCCAATCCAAAACCCTTAGTTTGAATATGTAATTCGAGTAAAAATCTGTTAGATTTATAGTCTTTACAATAATTTTTTATGTTATTTTTTAGAGCCAGATGAAGGTAATATTTTTTATTAAAAAATATGTAACTTGTTTTAGTTAGTCTGTAATATTAAATTATATTATGAATTTAATATTTATACTCTGTAATAATAAAATAAGCTGTACATCTTAGAATTTGTTAATAACTAAATATTTGATTAATCATGGAATTATCTAAGTATAATTACTATACTTCTTTAATAAAAATAAAAATAAATATTATTTTTAATGTTGTAGATAAATTTTTTTGGGTTAAAAGTAAGTGATGTTAATCAAATTATTAACATATTTTAAATTAATGAATAGTTTAATATAAGCCTTTTATGAAAAGTAAGAAATAATTTAAAAATGCGATTGGGAAGAACATTTCTACTTTACTTCTCTTAAAATAATAAAAATAATTCGAGTTTATTTTTTATGTCTTATAAGGATTAAATAACAGGTCATTGAATTTTCGTTGACCACTAGATTTCTTCTATAATAAAAAACATTTTTTTAGCTTTTATAAGTAGTATTTCTTTTTTTAATTTTTGTGTGATTAAATATTTTTATTCTTTCGACTATCTCTCATCCCTCATTAGGCTACCAACTTTATTTTTTCAAATGACAAATTATCCTTCGAAAAAAATGAAGTTTATATTACCATTCATAATATATATATTTAACTAGTTCATATAGTAGAAAATGGTCTTACTGAGAAAATGACTAATTTATAATAAGTTTTGAACCAATAGATTAGGAGTAATGAAAATGTTTCTATTTTGTGGGAGAAGTAGTGCGGTAGAGTGATTCATAATGATAAAGATAATATAACCCATAATTGTCTAATTCAGTCTACATTTAAAAATGTTATAACTTTTGAAATACTGGTTCAAAAGTTGTTATCGACAAGTTATTTTTTCAACTACAACATTTAACATTCTGTGAGCTATTCAATTATGTATGTTGCTATCTGAAAATAAAATAAAGGTGCCCTTATCAGGTGTAAGGGATGTAAAAAATAACAGATAAGTTGAGATACCTCTATACTTTATAATGGTCATAAAAACAATATAAAAAAGAATTATTATTTAAAAAAAATTTAAGTGATAAGTTTTAAAAGAATCATACTTCAGAGAATGATAAGTGCAATGACATTTTGTAAACCCCCTTTGCCTCAGAGTGATAATAATAATGTAGCTTCTTTTGAATTATATCGCGTTGTTTCTTAATATATTGAGTGGGAAATTGTTTTACTCATTTTATTTATTTGTAGTAGTTTTGAGGAATTATGTGAAAAATTTCATGGTTGTGCCA